AGAAATGAGTGATTAAGCCATGAAAAGACCTGAGAGAACTTTAAATTCATATTCATATTACTAAGAAAAGGAGGTAATCTGAAAGTGCTCTATACTGCCTGATTCCAACTATATGACATTCTGGAAAAGGCAAAACTATAGAGAAAGAGGGAAAAAAAAAAAAGATCAATGGTTACAAAGGGTTAGAAGAGAGGGAGAGACGATTAAGCAAAGCACAGAGGGTTTTCAGGACACCAAAAATCATTCTGTATGCCATTAGAATAGTACATGTCATCAAACTTAGAATGTACAACACCTATGGACTTCAGTGCGATAATAAGTTGTCAGTGTGGGCTCACTAACTGCAAAAATAATAGTAATAACAAAAAAAAAGTTGGTAAATGAATCTCAAGCCATAAACCAATAATCAAACAAAACTTGGGGCATCTTGTATTACCAGAGAATAAGGAAGTACTTGAAGACGGGGGCATGTCAAAGGGACTCCAGAGTTTATCTGCATGAGTTCCCAATAACTAAAACTAAAACAGTTTTCGTAACAAAGTAGAAAATAAATACACATGAGCCCATTCTGACATACATGATTACATAGATAAAAAAATAAGTAAAGCTGAAGAGACAAGTCTTCCCTACAGAATTGCCAATACTCTCCCCTCCAGGGGGAGTACTTAATTCCATCTCTCACTCTCCTAACCCCCACCCAGAGGGTAGATGAGACTCAGTGTTGCACTACCTAAGAATAGAGTAGAAAAAGGGAAAAACAAGACATTTTCACAGTGGAGAACCTTGGCAAGCACTATTTTATCCAAGTGATAAAGGTCAACATTACCATACGGAGACCTCATTCCCCCTGCTAAGATGAGATGAGAAGAGCAATTCACCTCTGTGGTAATCTATAACCTCACAGGAGAAAAACATCCGACAAACTCAGACTGGGGTTCATTCTACCAATTATGAAAAACAAAGACTGAGGGCAGCCACCCCTGTGGCTCAGTGGGTAGGGCACCGGCCCCATATACCCAGGGTGGTGGGTTCAAACCCAGCCCCAGTCAAACTGCAACAAAAAAATAGCCGGACGTTGTGGAGGGTGCCTGTAGTCCCAGCTACTCGAGAGGCTGAGGCAAGAGAATGGCCTAAGCCCAGGAGTTGGAAGTTGCTGTGAGCTGTGACGGCACAGCACTCTACCAAGGGCAATAAAGTGAGACTCTGTCTCAAAAAAAAAAGAAAAAGAAAAAGAGAGAGTAAGAAACTGACACGGATTGGAAGAGAATGGGGAAATGTGACAACTAAATTTTTTGTGGTACCCTGAAATGGATCCTAGAAAAAGAAAATTGTTAATGGAAAGACTGGCAAAATCCAAGGAAACTCTAGAATTTAGTTATAGTAACCCACTGACACCAGTTCTTAGCTCTGACAAATGTACTACTGTCATGGAAGAAGTTAACAATGGGGAACAACTAGATGGGAAGGGAACAAACAGTGTACTCATTCCATTCGACTTCTCTATGTAGCTAAAAATTATTCCAAATGGGACATTTATTTCAAAAACAAAAACAAACTAGCTTTAAAATGAAGCCACAAACTCACTAAACCAATATAGATATCCTTTTGGAAAATGTTACTTCTAAATTTAACTACTATTTACTCTACAGTATTTTTAAAAGTCTGTTAAATACTCTGATTTCTCTTCAGATCATATAAATCTTTGCCTTTTAAAAGGACTGTTAAATAGAAATTCAAGAAAAAAAAGCTGAGGGAAAAAGGACTAACATTTTCTTATCAAGATTGTATTATGCATTAATCAGAAACATTATGTACTGTATATTAATAGTTCTAGAACTATGCATATTAAGCTAGGAACATTTGACTGACAATATTATAAATATTAAATAACACATTAAAAAATACAAAACCTAATATTCTACCAATTCAATCATCTGTGAAGTTTCACTGTACATTGTGTTACTGGGGAAAAGGCTAAATATTTAATACACTAGTGGTATTATAATAAACAAATGTTTGGTAAATTTATACCTTTCACGTGTTATGACACTTCTGAGGGAGAATATACCTGGCCTCTAACTTCTTTTTTTTTGAGACAGAGTCTTAAGCAGTCGCCCTGGGTAGAGTGCTATGGTATAACAGCTCACAGCAACCTCAAACTCTTGGGCTTAAGTGATTGTCTTGCCTCAGCCCTCCAGGTAGCTGGGACTACAGGTGCCTGCCACAACACTTGGCTATTTTTTTGTTGCTGCAGTTGTCATTATTGTTTCAGCTGGCCCAGGCTGGGTTCAAACCCACCAGCCTCAGGTGTATGTGGCCAGCACCCTACCCACTGAGGTATGGGCACTGCCCCCTGGCTTCTAACTTTATAAATAAAAGAAATAAATATTGAGAGGCTGTTAAGAAAGTTTACCCAAATCTTGAGTATAAGACCAAAAGATAAATAGGCTTAAAAAGGAGATGCCTTTTCTAAGGAAATATGGGAATACAGATCCATTTAAAGGTTACTCACTTAGAGAAATGTACTTGTTCCATCATTCTATTTACTACTGAATTAAATGAAGTTACGTGTTAATTTATTGTTTTTTGCCTAGTAGAGTTGCAAATAATTTCTGTTAGGTAGAAGAGACAATCTCAAAGTTTAGGGGTTATTTGTATGTAGGACATTAGCCAGCTTGCAATGAACCTAGAAATCTTATACTACCAATTAGTAAACGGCCTGTCAATACAAAGCTCCTCAGATGTTCTTTGAAATATCCTTACTATTGTACTTGTTCCCTCAGTAATTAATTGAATAAGTGTGAATCTAATCATCACATGTATATGTAAAAATAAAAAATAATAACAATAATAAAAAAACCCAAATTCTTGTAGATGCAAAACCTGGCAGAGAAACAGTGTATCCCTATCTAATAAATCAGTGGAAGCATCTAAAAAGAGTCTCTGAATACTATTTCAACCCAGTGTCTGAACCAGAAAAATCAGACCAGGGTTAGCAAACATCATGGTTATGTGAAAGCCATAGCCCACATATCTGGAAACTTAATAGAAACAGAAGTTCCAAAGGCCTTTGACCAACTGGAACCCTTTTTATAAAAAGGCTACCATGACCTTTTCTCAGCTGTACATTAAGCTGCCACTTCACAGTACAATAATTAGGATGGATCACGACAGAACCTCAGTCCCTTCACTAGAGGTCTCATTTCTGCTCCAGGATACATGACTGCTGCTTCCTCCTTGTGCTCTAGATAATGAAGAAGAGTGCATTGCAAGCTGCTTGGCCAAATTTAAAACACAATGAGACAAAGCAAATATACATAGGTCCAAATTCATCAAAATACATGCATCAGATATGTGCATTTTTTATGTATCACTTACACCTCAATAAAACTAGAATTAAATTTAAAAAAATTAATTGAATAAAGTCTTTGATATACATTAACTTTATATTTGCATGACTCATGTTCTCAATTTTTTAAAGTTGTACTCTGATGGGCACAAAGAACATTCTACAACTTGCTTCATACAGTCTTTCTTACATTTAGCTTTGCAAATCCTACAATCTCACAGTCACAGTAGTTTTTCTGCATAGACTTCATATAATGTTGTCAATTATTTGGTTACTGGTAGTATCAAATAATGCTGTTATGTCTCAAATCCAAAAAGAATCTAAGAAAAGTATAAATTCCTTTCAAGATCATCTTTATTCTACCACTGACTTTCCATCCTGCCCACAAAATATGTAGAAAAACAAAAAATGTGAACAATTCTACATTTACCAAGTTTTCCCATCTGTGTATTTTAAAAACAATATAAATAAAACGTAATATCTCTTTCTTTTCACTCAATTTACTTCCTGAAGAGATTTTTAAGTACAAAGGAAATTCATTACTTGTTGACCTAGCATTAAAAAATTGCCCACAGAATCACAAAACATAAGATTTAGACAGGACTTTCAGTATCTTCTTGTCCAATCCCCTGTTTTAAAGAAAAGTTAAGTTGGGTTCAAAGAAGTATAGTGACTTTTGGGAAATCTGATAGTGGCTAAAATTCATATGATGTGACTGAAAAGAACTGCTAATTTGTTAAATGCCTCTCACAATGGAGCTATGAGTTAATTTTTTTATTTAAACCATTATTAGAAAAAAAAAGGCTCTCTTCCCTTTGTTTCAGGTATCTGATTAGCACCATTTAGTGTTTATTGAATCATAAAATGACAGTGATTTAAAAAAATCAGATACAAAACTCTTTTATAAAGAAAAATGTGTAGTTATTAGTTTCTTTCTTTCTTTTTTTTTTGGAGACAGAGTCTCACTCTGTCACCCTGAGTACAGCACCACCAAGCATCATAGCTCACAGCAACCTCAAACTCCAGGGATCAAGAGATTCTATTCCTTCAGCCTTACAGAACGTATATAGTAACTGGCACAATGTCTGGCTTGTTTTTCTATTTTTAGTAAAGATGAGGTCTTGCTCTTGCTCAGGCTGGTCTAGAACTCCTGAGCTCAAGCTGCCTCAACCTCCCAGCGTGCTAGGACTACAGGTATGAGCCACCGTGCCCAGCTATATATATATATATTTTTATATGTTGTCTTTCCTAAATAAAATGGGCTAATAACTAGGTTTAGGTATGAATTATGAACTGGCTTTACTTGTTTAAATATCACTGATTACAAATAAATTCTGACTGCATATTTGAAATTCAAGCAAGAAAGAGTAGCAAAAAGAAAAAAATCATGACTTTGTATTTTCAGGGGTACATTTTTACTAAAAGCAGAAGTCTAGACTATTGATTGTGACTTTTTTAAGTAAGAAACTTGGATATTCTCAAATTGTCAATGTAAATGTATTATACTTTTGGTTAAATTCATGTGAACTAATGATAGTGACATTTCAAGTTTTAGGCCTGAGCAATGGAAGGGAAGCACAACTGATTTTCGCCTAAACCACAATCTGTAAATGCAAAAAGAAAAAGCAAAAGAGAAAAGAAAATTCTGTACCCCGACATCACTTCTAGATGAAGTTGTCCCGAGACAGTTAAGAAGGCAGGAACATTGAAGAAATTCTCCCCAGGTACCTTTATTTTGCTTGAAGGCTACAAATAAAAAACATAAGCCACAAAAAGCTATTACATGTTTTGCTTTGCTTTTCACATTCATACATGTGCCACAAGTAAAAATCATAATGCAATTAAGCCTAGGTGAGGACAGGTCATTCTCATGAAAATAAAGGCAGCTCTCGGCACACATCTACCAGAGAAAAATCTTTCTTGGAAAGTGCTCACAGCAAGGGAGGTTGCTCATATTGTCAAAGGATATAACAACCAAAGCACAAGTACATCGTCTCAAAATACACTTCTCATTAAAAAGTGATTTTTTTTTTTTTTTTTGAGACAAAGTCTCACTCTGTCACCATGGGTAGAGTGCCATGGCATCATCATAGCTCACAGCAACCTCAGTCTCTTGGGCTCAAGTGCTTCTCTTGTCAGCCTCCCAAGCAGCTGGGACTACAGACACCTACCATGACTCCGGGCTAGTTTTTTCATTTTTAGTAGAGACAGGTCTTGCTTTTGCTCAGGCTGGTCTTGAACGCCTAAGCTCAGGTGATTCACCTGCCTTGGCCTCCCAGAGTGCTAGGGATTATAGGCATAAGCATTGTGCTCAGCCTATTTTTTTAAAAAATAAATTTATTTCAGGTTAATGTGAGGCTACCAACAGCCAGGGCACAATATTTGATTTTGTTAGGTGGAGTCCCTTATGTAGTTACTTCCCACACACAAAAGGTATGCCAAACACTCTCACCCGTGTCTATTCAGTGAGAGCACAACAACCCTCCCCTACCTCATTAACCCCCCCGACAACTTGAATTGAAATGAGTTTTTCTCCTATGTGGCATGTATTAGATTGTCTACTGGCTTCATATTAGTATTGAGTACACTGGATAATTGCTTTTCCATTCTTGTGATACTTTACTAGCTGCGATAAACAATCAAATACAAATGTCCATATAATAAAATTATTTTTTTTCTTCTGGGTAGATGCCTAGTAGTGGGACTGTGGGGTCAAATGGGAGGTCTACTTTCACAGTTCTTTGAGGATTCTCCATACTTCCTTCCAAACAGGCTGTATGAGTTCGCAGTCCCACCAACAGTGTAGACATGTTCCCCCCTTTCCATATCCAGGCCAGCATCTGCAGCTTTGGGACTTTGTGATGCAGGATAATCTTACTGGGGTTAGGTGATACCTTGGAGTGGTTCTGATTTGCATTTCTCTGATGATTAGGGATGATGAGTATTTTTATTTTTTAACATGTTTGTTAGCTATTCATTTGTCTTTCTTAGACAAGATTCTATTCATGTCTCTTGTCCAGTGATATATGACTTTGTTCTTGTTTGATTAATTTGAGTTCTCTATAGATTCTAGTTAGTTATCAAGCCTTTGTCTGATTCATAATATGCAAATATATTTTCTCCTTCTGAATGTTGTCTGTTGGCTCACCCTGTCACCTGCGATAGGGTGCAGTGACATCATCATAGCTCACAGTAACCTCGAACTCCTGGGCTCAAGTGATCTTCCTGCTTCAGCCTCCTGAGTAACTAGCACTACAGGCACATGCCACCATGCATAGCTGATTTTTCCTACTTTTGGTAGAGAATGGGTTTTGCTCTTGCTCAGGCTAATCTTGAACTCTTGAGCTTAAGCGATCCTCTTGTTTCAGAATCCCACTATGCCTTGGCTATTTGAAATTATGTTAGTATAATGTAACTATAGTTACTATATAGTTTAGTTACTATAAAAACAACAGAGCCAATTTTAAATATGTGATAGACGCCTTTATGTAAGACTCCTTTAATAGACTTAGTACTAAATACTGAATTCCAAAAACACATAACATAAAGATAACTTAGGTAATTTCACTGGTTATTCTAAAAATATTGAGCATAGAGGTAGATATGTGTGTGAATTAAAAATGTACTGTGAAAATTACTACTATTAATTGCCAATAATTTTGTAATATTTGCCTATTTTTTTTCAAACTTACTTTGATACTGGTCTTAGAAGTTCTATGAATGCTTTTTATTTTTTTTTTTAAAGTCCATCTTTACATCTTTTTATCAGTGAAAAACTATTGTTTTCAAAGACTTAAGTACTCAAGACTAAGTACTTGATGTGGTATGTGTTAGGACTTAAAAATAAAAAATATTTTATATATTTATTTATTTATATATTTATAATAATAATAAAAAAAAGACAAACTCATTCATTGCTTTGATGGGTGAACTAGGCACTGGCATCAGGGCACAGCTTTCCAAGGGAAGTACTTTGAAGGTGACTATAGTGATGCCCAGCAAAGAGGTGATGTAGCACTTTCTCTAGGACGAGTTCACGAACTTAATTGTCACACCCTGTATTATAAGATTTACATGAAGTATCCAGAATAGGTAAATCCAGAGACAAACACGTTAGAGTCATGGTCATGGGACAGGGAGAAATGAGGAATAATAATTACTTAATGGGCATAGGGTTTTCTTTTGGGGTGATGAAAATGTTTTAGAACTTAACAGAGGTGACAATTGTAAAATACAATGAATGCACTAAATGCCATTGAAGTGCACCTTTTAAAGTGATTAATTTTATGATATACGACTTTCACCTTAATTCTTTACAAAATCTTACAGGTTCAAAAGCTGTTCACCTGGAATTGCAAATTTAAGATTTAGAATTGCAATCTTTTTTTGTTTGTTTGAGATAGGGTCTCACTCTGTTGTGCTGAACTAAAAAAACAGTGGTGTCATCATAGCTCACTGAAACCTCAGACTCCTGGGCTCTAGTGATCCTTCTGCCTCAGTCTCCCAAGTAGTTGGGACTATAGGCATGAACCACCATACCCATCTAGATTTCTCTATTTTTAGTAGAGACAGGGTTTTACTTTTGCTCAGGCTGGTCTCAAATTCCTGGCCTCAAGTGATCCTCTCACCTTGGACTCCCAGAGTACTAGGATAACAGGCATGAGCCACTGTACCCAGCCAGAATTGCAATCATAAATTTGCGATCTTATATACTTCTGTTAATAATAAAGAAGGTATAAAATATGTGATTTAGGCACCCAACTTTGTGATCATGCCAGCGGGGAAGGATTTAACAAGAGCCCCAAATTAGAAATAATAAGCTGAAAAGTTGATTAATACGTTAAATTAAGATTTTCTATTTATTAAAAATACAGGCAAAGTTAAATGACCAAGTATAAAATATTTACAACATCTAAAATCAACACTTTATTAGTGGACAGAATATATAAGAACCTTCTGCCAAGAAAATAAGGCACAGGCACAAAGAATAATCTGCTCCCTAAATGGGAAAGTAGAAAGAAAAACTCAAATGGCTAAAATGCATATGAAGAAATACTTAAAACTCAGTAGGAATTAGAGAAATGCAAATTAAAAGAAGGCATTTTAAGAATGCTGTATAGAGGCCATCCTAGCACTCTGGAAGGCCAAGGCAGGTGGACTGCTTGAATTCAGGAGTTTGAGACTGGCCTGTGCTAGAGTGAGACCAGGTCTCTACTAAAAACAATTGAAAAACTACCCAGGCATTGTAGAAGGTGCCTGTTGTCCCAGCTACTAGGGAGGCTGAGGTAAGGATAACTTAAGCCCAGGAATTTGAGGTTGCTGTGAGCTATGATGCCAGAGCACTCACCCAGTAAGACTCTGTCTCAAAAAAAAAAAAAAGAAAGAAAGAAAAAGAAAAAAGCTTTATATAAACCAGATTGACAAAAATTAGAAAGCTGTATAATATCAATTGTAGGTAAAGATTCAGGATATGGCAGACAGAATTCTAAGATGTGATCCCACCCAGGATATTGAATCAAGACACTAATCCAGGTACTTATGTAAAGAGATTTTACAAATTTAATTAAAGTTCTGAATCAGATGACTTCAAGAGTCAGAGATGACCTGACCTAATCATACAAGCCCATCAAAAGTAGAAAGTTTTCTACGGTAGGCTGCAGAACAGGAAGTCAGAGCTTTGAAGGACAGGGAGTCAACATGACGTGGGTGGCTGCGTAAAGAGAGAGGGACGCATGTAAAGGTCAAGGAGCTAAAAGCAATCGGCAAACAGCCAGCAAGAAAATAATGGGAGAGTCGGTCCTACAACTACAGAGAAACGAATTCTTAATAACAGCACTGAGTTCAGAAGAGAACTTCTACCTCCTGATGAGAACCTCCAAGAGCAAGAGAACGCAGCTAAGCCATTCTTTACTTCTGACCTATAGAATTGTGAGCTAATAAACGGGTATCGATTTAAGCCACTCAGTTTGTAGTACTTTGTTAAAACTAATTCACTGGGAAACAGGAACCCCGCAGGAAATGCTAGACATGTGAACTGGTACTATGCCACTCTATGGAGAACTTAGTGAAAGTACAAATGTAGATCCCCTATGACTCTGAAATTCTACTCCTGGATAAATACTCCAGAGCTGCAGTTCTCAAACTGTGGGTCATGACCCACAGGAACTGCATTAAAGGACTGCAGCTTTAGGAAGGTTGAGAACCACTGCTCTAGAGAAATGTTCACACAGATCCATTAATGAATATGTATAAAATTACTGCTATTTTTTTTTCTGGATATAAGTTAGAATTGGAAGTAATCTAAGAGTTCACTACAAGAACAATGAATGAATAAAATGTAGCAGACATATACCCTTGAATACTGTGGCACAAACAAAAGCAACAGATCAATTTACCTACAGTAGTACAGACAGACTTTCAAAACAAAGAGTTAAAGGGGAAAAAGTAGGAAATAGAACAGGATACCTAACAGAGTACCATTATTTTAAATTAAAAAAACACATATCTATAAAATATCACTCACATTAGGTCACATACATAATAAAGGAAACAATGAGGATATAAAAGTGTACGCTTTCTAGAGACGGGAAAGGGGATGGGAGTAGGGATTGGGATAAAGAGCAAAAAATAAGACAAGAAAGGGGCTATCTGGGGTTGCATTTTGTCAGCTTGGTGTTATGACTTCCATCTAAAGCTGGGGCTATACTTCTTGGAAATCCCTTTCCTGTATGGTTCCAGGTCACAAA